TTTCTTTTTCTGAATTGCAATCCAGCTGATTCAAGGAGGCAAAGGAGAAGCTATCCGCATCAGGGCCATTCTCAGATCACTCATCCCTATTCAGGATCTTGAGGGAGTCATCAGCATCTCTTTTCAAATCCCTTCAGTGTCAAAAGGTTAAATGTGACAAATCAGCCGATATTTCATCACTGCAGTAAATCCAGTTTGTATTAAACATTTGCCCTCTGTGGCTTTATTCTTTAATAATAATGATTGCTCTATTCCACTATTGTAGCTACAGTAGAAACATGGTGGAGTCTGGTTGAGACATCCACTGGAGATTAGACAAGAGGGCTGTAAATCAGTGTCTCCCACAGAGAGACACAGCCACATTATATACACAGATGCACGATACATAATGGAGTAATGTGATTTAGATCATAGGATGTAAACTTTCCTTTCTTTTGTTTGTCCAGATGGTCTGTTGGTCGAGCCTGACTTGTCTACAGTGTTCTGCCCAGACCACAAGGCAGCTATGGTTCTGTTCCTGGATCGGGTTTATGGCATTGAGAACCAGAGCTTCCTTCTCCACCTTCTAGAAGTTGGCTTTCTGCCTGACCTTCAGGCGGCCGTCTCGCTTGACACCGTGAGCACAGAAGCATTTTTCTTTTGTTGACCCCTTCACCTCCTTGAGAGATTCAGTGTGAGATTGCCGGAGTGACAGATGACTGAGAAACCGATCGAAGCTGTACCCAGGAACCAGTAGCAAATATCCACTTCTTTCTCCCCGGGTCCCTTACTTCATCTGGACTATGTTATAACATTGCTATAAGAGTAGCGATCAACTGCAACTCCAGCTTACGTAGGATTTGGTTAGCTCAGGTTATTAAAGTCATGGTTTGGCAATCTTCAAATGTGTGTTTTATCATTAGAACTTGATCGTATGCACCCATCCTGACAGCTGTTTTTTTTTTTGTTGTAGTTTGTGTTTATAATAGGCTCTGCCATCTTCACAGTAATAAAAATAATCTTTATTTTCTCGATGTACATGATCGTGTATATCTAAAATGTGGAACTACTGGTTGTATTAAGTCCTCTTTGTGGTTCCTGTTTTTTTTTT